CTGCTTCAAACCTTTAAATAAAAATAAAAATATGACATATATATTCAGTTGGTTTGGTAACACATTTTCAGATATACCCATTCGCAAAAAAAAAAATATATATATATATATATATAAATTTATTTGTATATATATTATTATGGTGTACGTTATACAATGATCATTATATTCATGAGGGTTATCAATCATAATTTTTATACAATCATTATTTTATATTTTTTTTTTGAGGGAGAGGGGGAAGGCGGGTCCATTGCCCTCCCCCCAACCAGAATGGAAGACAGTACCAATATTCATTACATTTCTTGAAAAATTTGTCGTTTTAGAAATAATCTTCTTTTTTTTACCACTTTTTTTAATATTTAGGTTCGTTTTTGAAAATAAAATACATATTGGTTTTTTTTTCATAGAAATCGACACATTTCGATTTCTAAAAAATAAAAATAAAATGGATTAGGGTTCCTTTTGAAAGTATGATACATCACTCTAAATTTTAATTTACTTTGGACTTGCAAAAATCACAACAGACAAGGCCATAATTTCCACTTCAAAATTATAATGTTAAAAAAGATTATATACTAGTTACAACCAACGGCGTAACTAAACAACATTCGCAGAACAGATAGGCCTCTGACGTTGAAAGGAAAAAAAAAAAGTAAAACTAAGGCTGTGCGAGGGAAGGAGAAAGTGGAGTCGATCGCGCGGCTTTCTCCGACGCGGGCGCGGGAAGAGACCCCACGTGGGGTCCGCGAGTCGTCCGCCAGGTCGTTCACCCCGCTCACTGTTTTCCACACACACACACACACAAACACGCACAACACACGGTGCCTCTCCTATACCTGTCCACTAGTCTACTGGCCATCTGCTTCTAGTCTAGAATACAGCCAATTCTATCCTAATAAAAAAATAAACGAAGACAAACGAATTTTTTATATAAAATATTACGATATTACATATTAAAAGACATGCATGTATAATGTATTATAACTAAAAATATTTTACTAGGTAAGACCAATATGATAAAGATTACGTATAGCGCAATAAATTGGATAAATTGTATACAAAAGCTTCTTATATATGTTCATATCCATATCCATTACTTATTGTCCTCAAAAAAATGACCACAAATATGATCACAGGGTTTTTCAATTAGAAAAAAAATAAGAATAATTCAAATAAAATATTATCAATACAGAATATACTAAAAAAAAAAAAAAAGGTCTATTTAATACCAAATCTAATGCCAAGCTAAATAGAGAACAAAAAACAGAAATATATAAATAAAACCACATTTAACTAAATTGGCAACTACCCGTTAACAACTTAAATAACTGGATAAAAATAATTTTATTTTATATATCATGCACATGGATTTCCATCCATTTAGATAAACAATGCTATGAAAAATCTGGAATGCCAGAGGATTAGAATAATTGCCAGCAATTATCTTTGATATTATTGAAAAATATTAACAACAACAAATGAGTAAATGAATGTGTATAAAATAGTTCAGTTCTTTTTTAAAAAGGATCTGAAACATCTGGTAACATAAATAAAAATTAAACATTCAAATAATACCATTAAAAAAAAGAGAAAGTGTAGTAATCAATAATATATGTAATATGATGGTACATAGAGGCACAAGGATAAAATTTAGTTATTAAAAACTCCTTCAGTTGAAACCATTTGGAAGGAAAGATTAAAAAAAAAAAAATATTCACACAGCGTGATCCATTACAGCACACATCATTAATCAACTTTTTTGGTAAAGATGGTTAAAAAATGAGGCATCAAGAGATAACTTCATTCACTTGGTTTTTACACGCCCATTTTTCAAAAAGATATTATATGGCTAAAATAAATATTGATAAAAAAGTAAATTTGCACTACAAAACAAAAAGCTACAAAGAATGCAGACAGATGTGCAATATTTATTACAACAATTGTAAAGTTTTACAGGATTTTGTAAAATTTTAGAATCTGATGCTATCTCTTTTTTTTTTAGTAGATGCCTAGAGGATGGAATGGCCTACCACGTTTGGGTGTGGGTCCCAGAGTGCGCGGCTCTTGGGTTGGTTAATTTTTATTTCTCGGTGACCCCGATAATTGAATCTTGACATTTCCACTCTGGTAATTATATGGCAGCTACTTAAAGGTAGCCATCAGGGGTTGGCCAAGAGGATCACAATAGGGCTCACTTGCCAGACTAGTTCTCCACACCAAGTATCAATATTAGGCGGGTGACAGGACTGTATACCGTTTACTGTAAATTAAATAAGCACCTTTACAATTTGGGTGTAAGTGAGACCTCCACCTACAGGCTATGTGGCCTGGAGGATCAAACAGCCCATCACATTATTTGTAGATGTGATAATTTGGCTAGACTGCGATACCTTCGATGAGATCATATCACTGACCTTAAGTACTGCGAAATGATTGATTCGGAGTTTTAAAAAAAAAAAGTATCAGTACCAGTGGTAGATGCCTCAAGTAATGTCTGAAATTATAAGCCTGTAAATGCATAAGATTTTCTTACTTTGGCTCTATCATCAACAATATCAAGAATGAAGAAGAAGAGGTTAAAAGCAGAACAACAGCAGGAAATAGAGCCTATTTCTCCATTTTAAGGCTAATCAAAAGCAAACTTGTTAGTCGTACTTGAAGTTTACGCTTTACATAACGCTCCAACATATGGTGAAGAAACATGGACCCCAAGCAATAAAAGCATTAACCTGCTAGACAGGTTTGAAAGGGTAATTCTGAGGAGAATCTTAGGGTCTGTATGCGAGAATCATGATTGGCGAAGGAGGAAAAATAGTGAGCTGTTAGGCTCTACAAGGAATGTAGCGTCTATGGTGTCCGCCGACGTGATAGACCGATGGGCCGATGGAGGAATGCTGTGGGACAGGATCTGCGACAACTGAGGATTCATGGTACCCTTACAGAAGATAAAGAGAGATGGTTGGCAGCTGTTGTGCAGCCCAAGGGCAGCTTCATGCGCCTGTAGTGCCAATAAAAGAAGAAATGCACAACAAATATTACAATATATTTTACTGCAAATAGTGCAAAAAAAAGCTGGAAAATCAAATCCACAAAAAAAGATTCTTTAATATTGGCTTGACCCCAAATTTTCTAATAATAACTCTTGAAATCAATCAAACTTTATTAAGCAGCAATAAGCATTTTTCCTCTCTCCTTCCTCGGCATTATTGTTTTATATTTATTTCACAAAACTTACTCCTATTATTTAAATGACCCCCTAAATGTCATATGACATTTTAAGTTCTATGCTTAGAGGATATTTTGAGAAAGTGTACCAACAGAGAGGTAGTTGCTAATGATCCTTTACTTTTAAATTGAACCTCTAATAAATTTTATTCTAAAAGATATCTTTGCATATTAAATTACTTTCTGAAAATAATCACTCAAAATAATACAATGTTCAGATCGAAGAGAGCAAATCCGTCTGTAGTTGTTTATATCAAAAGTTATTCATTGAAATAGCTTCTGTTAACTACTTTCCTGTTTTATAAAGCAATAATGATTTTAAAATATAAAAACTTCATTTCTATTCTAGGCTCTATCCTTTTTAGAAATTATTTTCACTGACACAGGTTAATTAAGTGTACAAGTACCCAATACAACAACAATCAGTAATAATACATACAAAACTAGTTTCTATAATTAGAAAAACAGTGACCCATCTGAAATGTTCAAAGCTATAGTTTATAATAAGGTCAATGTTAGTGAAGAAAGTTCCTTAGAAAAACAATTTAATTATTTTTAAATGAAATTATTCGAACATATTCAATAATGCAATGACTAAATACATGCAATACAGCAAAGTTACTCAAAAATTTGTACCGTATTTGTAAATGAACATACATAGCATTTTAAAATTGTAACATTTAAAAAAAAAAAAAACTGAAAGAAAGTAAAATGATGTACTTTTAAGATTTTTTGTTTATTTATCTATGATAAAACTTTTATTAACTGTTTAACTTAATAAAAAAAGAAGAAGAGTAAAACTTCCTTAAGGGCACCAAATCTGTTTCTTCAAATTCTTTATAAACCAAATGATTTTCTATTTTTCTTATATAGAAAAACTTTTTGAACTTCTAAGTAATTTAAATTTTAGTAACTTGCGATCGTTAATTTTTTATCTATGAATCTATAGCTAGCTCTACCCGATAACTTTAGAATGGTATAAGAATAATGTAATTTTATGCTGATAAATGATGAGAAGAAATTTAATCAAAGCTTTTAGCAGATAATGTCTATAATTGATAATATACTACTATCATAATTTAGTTATAATATAAATTAGCACCTTAAAACACATAGCTTCTTTAAGTTTCATCTTTTACAAATATTTTCAACAGAGAATTTATTTCAATATTAAAAATCCTTGGTGAATCAGTTATAACAAATTTATATTTGTTCTAATTCAAGTTCTATAGAAAAGAAAGTTTGTTAAACACAAACAAGCCATAAACATAAAGCCAAAGAATAAATCTTAATCTCAGGTTAATTGTATAGACAAATAAATTTTAAAAGATTTTAATAGCTATGATTAACGAGCGATATCAAAATCAATACTAAAGATATCATAATAATATAATTGTCATAAACAATTAGTGTTAATGTTAATTTATCAAGAGAGAAATGAAAATCAAATATAACTTAAAATACTTAAAATAAAATTTTATTGATGCTCATGATTACAAAGTAAGTAATATAATATATCTATCATATTGTAAAAATAAATGGGAATAATGAGATTTTTAAAATTATTATAAAAATATATGCATACAAAATGAAACCAAGATTTTCGAGAATAGAAAAAAAACTGACAACATTAATGAAAACCTATAAAAAATTAACAAAAGGAACATATTGATGCTAAATAATCTAAAGAACACTTCTACGTATGATATATCTACTACAAACATGCAATTTTCTATTCGCAGTATGTTTCAAATACATTTAAAAAAAATATTTACCATCATCTGGCTTTGTTGTTGGAAGAGATGGTGAAGGTAAATCTTGTTCAAATGACTCAGCGACTTCAACTACGGGTTTCTCCTGTAAATCATAATTTAAATGAATAAACTTACTATAACCAAAGGTTAATAACAAAATATCATCAACTTACCTTTTTTTTAATTTGTTTTATAGAAACACCAGCAGAAGTATGTTCAAATTTTGCAATATTATCATACACTGGAGCATCCTGGTTTGGAATCGGAATATCTTGAGCATATAGAGCACTAAGAGGGTCAAAACCACTTGATAGTGGATTTAATTTTTCATCTTTTTCCTCTTTATCACCCATTACATTGCTATCAAACTAAATCATTACTTCAAAGTATGACTATGAATCAAATTTAATAATGTTTCACATCAATTCAAATAAATGATTCTTTCCCTAACCACGATAAGACATGAATCTTATTTTAAATTATGATCATATATAATTAGTAGCTAACATTACTGATTCTTGGGAAGTTAGGAACTATAAATTTATCATTAAAACAGTTTGAAAAGTAAACCTCACTATAACCAACCGTCAGCTGAAGGACAACCAACACAAAGTTCTCTTTTCAACCACTAGGATCGCCAGCCATTGGAGCCAAAATGACTTCCTGTTTTCAGTTAGTTAATTCCTTTACAGCTTAAAAAAATTAAATCTTGATTTGAAAATAAAATTTTGTATTAAATTAATTTAACGTTTGAAAAAATGTTTGATGTTTATTTTTAAATTTTTTTACTCTAGGTTTACTGGGAGTTAAATAACAAGTAATATTTGAATCATTCATATGAATATTAATATTAATATATCTTTAAATTATCTTGGTGTAGTGTTTAAAATAATTCTTCCTAAATAGTTAGGGTATTATTAATATTTAAATTATTTTTGTAATATTATCATTTTCATTAATGAATAAAATTTTTGTATATTAATAAACTGCTATTAGATTCTTTACTTAAGTCAGTCATTGCATGTTTCAAGTTTCCAACTGAATTCCTTAGGTACTTTGAAATTATATAGGAAATCTTTAATTTTTTTTTAATATATTATTAAATTCCTTATTTGTTTATATGAAACTTCTATACTAATTAAGAATTAAACAACTGAATCACTCTGAATTAAATACAAAATATAGATACATCTTTTAGCTAACATTGATTCAAAATTATAAAAAATGGATGAGTTACCATCAGCCAGAATATCACCACTTCGACCAAGTAATTATTAATTAATTTTGCTATAATCATTATCATGAATGAAATTATCTTTGATAACATTAATGTGTTATTACTTTTATCTAAATGATAGGCATATGAAAAGATTTTCTTCATTTGTCTGAATGGTGTTCTGACTATATCAACTATTTTTTTTAGAAAAAATCAGTTTGTGCTTAAACTATATTATATTAAGGCATTGCTGATGAATTAGAATTCAAGACTATTAATAAGTTAATTTAATTGTAAATATCATAGTAAAACATATAATAATCAAAATATCCAAATTTAATTTTTTATATATTAATACCTATATTTAGGCATTATTCACTTTATTTGAAATATATCTAATCTACTTTTCTATTCTTTTTCAGACGGTGCTTCAACAACGAGGTTCATGTTTTGGTGCAAGTTGATTAAACTACGTTATAAATCAAGGTATAATTTTACTAAAATCATTTGAGACCAAATGAATCAATAATTGAGATATTAAATCTGATTATTTAAAAAAAAAAATCATTTCTGACTAGAAGCAATTTGAACAGGACCTAAAATAGGAAGGACAAAAAAGATGTTGCCCTTGGTGGCAGACTTTGAAGAGCAGGAAATTTCAAATGAAATTTTATCTTTAAGATGTGTAAAATACATTTGTTTCTATTTTATAATCTTAATTCAGTCAATAAAAGAAATAAATGTTTTGATTCATCCAATGATATAAAGATACATATTTTGAAATATATTCTCTAAAACGGTTAAAGTTACAAAATTGTTGACTTTTTTGGAGAATTTTCATAAATTTTTGTCAGTGAGCAAAATAAAGCTTTCTCCTCTGAAAAAATCCTAATTCTTTGCATTTGAATATATATTGTCAAAATATTGAATTTTCTTCCTATTACATTTTGGTTTTCAAAGATACAATTAAATATTTCAGTTTCTGTTTATTATGATAAGCTATCAATATTAGTAATAAAATCCTAAAATTATTTGAATTAATTGTTTGTTTTTTTAATAATATTAAAAGAATCCATTTTAACATATGTTGGAAGTCTGTTGAATATTTTTGATGTATTGGGTTGGAACATATGGAATGTCAGTTTTTAGTGTTCAACGCAAATACAATAAAAACAAACTTTACATTATTTTATGAATAATATTATTTTAATTCTATATTGATTTTCTCTATTTTTTTTTTTAGAAAATAGTGTTCAATTGGAGAAAATTCAGGAAAATATGATAGAGCTTCAGTTTTTAGATCATCCCTGTTTATCAGTAACTTTAAATTACATACATTTTCCAGAAAGTGAAGTTCTACCACTTCTGACACATTCGCACGAATTGTCCTCAACAAACTGGTTGACACATTTACAAAAAAAAAAAAAAAAAAAAAATTTAAATGAAAATGAGGTGGAAAATTCATATATCAAGTTTATTTATCCATGGGCATAATGTTTCTAGGAACCAGGAATCAAAAAACGTACTGGGGGTAGGGAAAAATGTCCTGAAGCTAATAGAAATTTATTTCAATAAAACTGAAAATGATATTCAGTTATGTTCATCCCAAAATTGTACTGGTGAAAGTACAATTACAAAAATTATAGTTCATGCACAACTTATGTGCTTCTCTTGTAGCTTGGTTTGAAGGTTCCCAGGGAGCGGGGTGGCCTAATGAACCAGATAAACAAGTTTTGAGATTGAAAAAAAGTACGAGTTCGCATCCCGGTGCCAGAGGGGATTTTAAATTTCCTGCCCTCGCTCTCCGGCACGGAAAATCCTGTATAGCTTAAAAGGCGAGGAAGGGAAGAACTGAAAAAGAAAAAAAAAAAAGGTTTGGAGGTTCCTTCAAATTAAATATCCACAAAATATTGCGTCCTCTACCTGCTTCAGGTCACCACTGCTGACGTTTCATATGTTTCATCACTATTTAAATCTACATTAATTTTTAGACATTTTCTATACCAAATCCTATGCTACTAGATTACTTTTATATAATTTTAACATTAAAATAAAATTTAGTTGAGTAAAATGTTTTTTTTTTAGCTTTAATGTAGTATTTTATATTGAAATCTAAGTATATATAAGTGTAATTATCAATTTATATAATTTTAGGTGGTTATATAAAGAAGAGTTAGGGTGGCGTTGGTGAGAGGGTCTGCGACGGCTGTCATGCCGTTCATTGAAGACGATCTTCTCTGGTCTCCACCTGAAACTGAAAATAAAATGGTTGATCTATCACAGTGCCTTGTAAGACAAAGTTTTTTAAATTTCTTTTTAATCAGCAATTAAAATTAAAATTGTTAAGTGTAAGAATTATTCATAAAATAGAATATTAAGTTATGTTTTTATTTATGAAAAAAAGAAACATAAAGAATAAAATGTAGATGAAATATCAGGAAGAACATAAATATATACCTATAAAAAATAAAGGCAAAATATCAAATTTGACAACTTAAACATTTATATTACAATATAGAATAATCATATATAACTATTGAAAATGCTTCGTAAGTTTTTATTAAACTGTTAACTTTGCTAATGATTTTTTCCAGTTGAAGAAACAGCATTACCAAAGCTAGGCGAATTATTGCTTTGCTTTCCGAAAATGTATTGATTGGAGTTCTGTTAAATTAAATAGTCCTTCCTTCCATTCTCATAAATTCAATAACTGACTCAAAATTAATTTGATAATGTTGCTTTGAATTCAGTTTTTTCAGAACTCAAAAAATGTTAATTATTACATTTATTCCCTTGATCCTTTAATTGTAACTTAGGTTAAATTAAGTTCAATAATGAATTTTGTGTTCAAGTTCTATGAAGAATATTCTGGTTGTTTTATTGGGTTTAATGCTCTTATATATTCTAATTAGTCCTGAATGAACAAGTTGTTACTCTCTTAGCAACTTAACAAAAGTGGCAAGGGCAGAAGGTTTGAGATTTGTTTTATGTCTTTTAGAAAATAAAAATAAATAAATACTAATAATGAATAGTTACTAGGTTGAGCTAATAAGATCTTCCATACATATTTTATTATTTTCTTTATAATCTGTTGACAATTTGAGACGGTGTCCCCATTTTCACATCAAATTAAAAAACTTCCTGCAAAATTCAGAAATAAGAAAAAATAAATAAATAACCTGACTTTATCAGCCCGAATTCGAACTACTTCTGACTCACAAGTTTCAAGTGCCCAGTGTAAAATATTTTAGTTACCACAGCCCTAAATCAATTGAATATATAACTTAAAATTAATATTGGTTAATATAAATCAGTAAATAACTCACCAAAAGTCAGAAATTCAATATTAGGTTATAATTAGAAAAAATTTAACCACACAGCCTAATGTCTCCAAAATGCAGCAAAAGAATAAAAAAAAAAAACCATCAACATTTTGTCAATTCAGACATCATAAGGACAGAAAAGAAAGTACAATCAAAAGATTTTATGACTCCAAACCATCCAATCTCATAATAGATATATACTAGCAGTATACGATTGAATGAGATGGTGTGATAAAATCTTTTGATTTGCCTTTCTTTTCTGTCCTTATAATTCCTGATTTTACAACTTTTTGATTTTGAATTTGATTGATTCATCAGATTTCCATAGTGTTAACGCTTGGGTAAATTTGGCTGGAGTTAACTAATTGAAATGTTTTTATATATGGATTAAAATATCTCAGAAACTAAAAATCGGACCTGGATACTGTAAGCGAGGGAATTGTTCAGCATTTCAACCTCTCAGTAATGAGCTATTATTCAAAATTATATTTTAATACGACACTGTGTTAGAGAGACGAAATAGAAAAAATAGTGTCGAAAACCAAATGATAAAAAGTTTTATGGAAGATATTGATTAAAAGATCCCAGAAACTAAAAATCAGATCTACATACTATAAGTGAGAGAAATTTTATGCATTTCATCCTCTTTATGAATGAGCTAGAGAGAGAAATACTTTATTTAAATCAGTGCTTCCCTACTATATAGGGTTGCTCAACACACAGCATACTCATCAATCCTTTTTTGGACATAGCATTTAATCATACTTGGCGGAATTTTTCCAATTATAACCTAACATTAGCATTGGACAGTTGAATGTTCATCTTATGGAATGAAATAATTTTTAAATATACTCCTTAACACTTGAAGCCTCTTTAACATTCTATTATACAATTTTCTTTTTTTTTAATTTTTTAATGAGCTATTTTACTAATTGTTTTTGTAAAAAATCTATATCGACAACTACTCTGAAAAAGCCTGCAAGAACAATTTTATTGTAAAATATAATAATTGAGCTTTCCTGGTCAATTTTGGCTTCACACATGTTATAAAATAACAAATAAAATAGTTTCTGAATATATTTCATCTTTGTTTTAAGCATTCAAATAAAATTTATTAGAAAATCTTATTTATAAAATAGAAACTCCACAGTTCTTTTTATCTTTGAAATGTATCTGTCATTATATTTCGTAGATGATTTTATTTAAATATATGTTTTATTTAAATATATGTTTTATTAAAATATATGTTTTATTTATTTATATTGCTTTAAAGGATGGGGGAGGAGGTCTTGGAGAGCTCTCTCAGACGGATTTAACAGGACTAGTTAGTGGTATAGATGAAGAGGAAGATATTTTCAAGCAACTAGACAGCTCATTTGAATTGGAACAGTTTTTTGATTTTTATGAAGAGGGAAAGGTAATATATAAAATTTATTAAATTTAAATCCCTGCCACTCACTGTATAATTTATGTTTTTGTCCATTGAATTAACTTATTTAATATACACATATACACATATACATTAGTTCTTGTGTAAGAGCAGTGCCGGCCTTAGACATTAAGCGCTCCATGCAATGATGTCATCTCATCCCTTCTAAAAAATTTAATTTACTTCTTAAGTTTTTTTTAGGCTAAAATTAATTGTTTTAATACGTTTTATATTTTTTTAAATTTCTAACAAGTGGCAAGTGCCCCTTCAGGGCGGCGCAATTGGCAGTGGATTTGCAATAGCCCCGATTGCCTCACTCTAGGGCCGGCATTGTGTTAGGGTATATATATTTTTAAAAAGATATAAACTGGAAAGCTTTTTGTTTATTATTTTTCCAAGCAACCTATTTTTTTTTCTCAGTTTTAAGAAGATTTAAATTTTGGTCAGATGAATTCTGAAATGATTCGTTTGTTTAATATCTAGTGCTTCAGTTGCTTCTATTGCCACTTGAAATTGGCGTACATTGTATGAGGTAGATGCTTTCTCTCGATCAATGTTGTCCCAAATGTTTCTTTCCTTTAAACTTGCATCTAATATCTAAAGATATGGGTCTAAAGTTAAAAGAAGCTACGGAAAAATAGAATGCTATAAACAGAGAAAATATTCACACTCCTAAAAAGTACACAAAAGATATTACAAGTATTGATAAAGAAATCATTGTGTAATAAAAAAAAATAGCATCTATATATTATTTGTTCTTTTAATAAAAAGTCCATGGATGGTTGGAATATAATAATTGGCAATGTTAAAATGTTTTTATTTTCAGTTTATATTCTTTTTAAATAAATCTTGATGACTGGTCTCAACATTTAGTCTAAAAACCTAATATTTTTTTACTAATGGATCTAAATTTCAATAATTTATAGTAATATTATTTTATTTTTATAATATATTATAGTAAATTTAAGTATTAAATTCTTCTCAGGATGGTTATGGTTAGTATCAGCTTATTGCTGTCAAGTTAATTCTACTTTTTTGCTTTTCAGAGCTTTATAATTTTTAAGTGTTTGATCATCGAAACATAAAAAAAAAAAAAATCATTCATATATAAGTAGTGCTTTGAAAAGATTTGGTCTAAGTTTATATGGGTTAAGTCTACTGAAATCAAATATAAAGTTATAGCTGAAATTCTATTTTGTTTAGCAGTTCATTTTTTTTTTATTTGACCAATGGGAGCTTAAAAAGATTTTTGGGGATCAATGCTCAAAAAGACAAAATGATTGTAATAAAAAATGACATATGAGAATCTCCAGATCAAAATTCATATTTTCTTGGAATTTTAAATTATTTATGTTAGTTATTTACTGAAAAATGAATTTAATCATAAAATCGAGAAAAACATTTTAAACTGGAGCTCCTCATATTATTAAAAAAAGTGCTGAGTGAATTCACACCAATCTTTAATGACAATTTTTTTTTTTAAATTATAGTATTCTAAATTTATCTTTTTAATTTTATTAAAAATTAATCAAGATATATTATTTTTCATATAATTGAAGAAATGTGCTGATATAGGTGCTATGAAACAATTTTTTGAAAATTGATTTTATTAAGACGTTTAATTTGTAATATAATACCATCCACAATGTCTTCAATTACTTGAAGATTTATAATATTAAAAAATCAACATATCTTTGACAAATTAATATTAAATTAAACTCTGGTAGTTTTATTTATAATTTAAAATAAATAAATAACAAAAATTAAACAAGCCAATTCATCCAATAATGACTTATTTAAGACAAATGGATAAGTTATTATTTGTTTATATTTACCTAATGCTAAATCCTTACAAATATTCTTATATTAATAGTTTGTTGTTTTTATTCATTATATTTTGTGTTTTCAGGAAGAGAACAATAATAGTTTAATAGGTGGTAGCAATAAAAATTCGGCAACTGTAGCGCTTTTACAAGAATTGCAGCGGAGTCAAGCGAATGCGAGAAAGTTCAATATAGCTGCAGCCAATCCTCTTTTAGCTGGTTTGTATCGTTCTATTGATAGAGGCATATATAAAGCTATTATGGCTTATTTTTAAATTTGTGCTTTTAAATCAAAATTTGAAAAAATACTAAAAAATAATGCCCTTCAGTTTGAAAATAAATAACTAAAAAGAAACATATCTAACTATATAGAGAAAGGCTTTATTTTTCACCACATTCATTTTCATTTCTCCTTCACATTGGCTACGTTTTGGCTATGATGCCATTTTCAAGCCATTTAGGTAATACTGTACATAATATAATCAAATTATGGACTGAACAGGAAAATCAGTATTATCTAAATGGCTTGAAAATGTCATCATAGCTGAAACATAGCCAATGTTGAAGAGAAATGGAAATAAATATGAAAAATATAGCTTTTCTCTATATAGTTAAATATGATTTCACCTAAAATATAAACGTAAATGAATTGAAACATTTAAATAAGCTGTACTTTTTGATACTCTATCATGGTTTCCAAACAATTAAATATCACTTTGCCTGCACCTAAAATCTAATTTATTTAGGGGTATGTTAGTAGAATATTAAACGTATTTTAAAACGCTATCTAGATATTTATTTTTTTCTTCAGCTATTCTAGTACATCATCCTATAGTGCATATTACTGATATAAAAAAATTATCTGGAATATGGTTTTTAGTTTGTTTACAATATCAATTTTCCACAACTATTGATGTTTTATTAAATTATAAATATTTTTGTTCCATTTCTCTTTTTAAAAAAATGTTGTATTCTGTCTTATAAATAAAAAAACCCAAGACATATTGTTTTATGATTTTTCACCAAAGTGAAAATGGGGAACATTGATGTGTTTTAGAATAATATCCTGTCAAAAAATTATTGGGTAAGAAATATATTAAATATTATTTTTCAACACATAGATTAGAGCTTGTATGAAATGGTCGTGACCCGAAATTATTATATCAAACAAAATAAATGGTAGATAACATACCTTTCAAATATAAATTATCTTTGTTTTTCATCTCTAAATAATTAAATGAAATGAATTGAAGAAATTGTACTTATGAATACTTGAAGATTATCCTTCAGGAATTTTCGACACAACTTGAAGTTTAGGATTTTCACTGTACAATTTAAAACGAAACATTTTTCTCTATCACTTGCAGCAATCTATATTCCTCGCATTTCCTTCTCTCTTCTCTGTATGAACATGACCATAGAGCCAGTGTAGCACAGCCAGTCTTTCTTTTGACTTCGCTTTCTGCCCAACTTTATTAAGTTTTTTTGGTCCTGGTTCAGACCTTACACCACCAAGATACTTGGCCTATGTTTTCTCAGAATTTTCTATTTTTATTTCCTACCCTACAATATACTTCCAACCATTCTAGAGAGATATCTCATCTCTGCTAAAGTTATTCTATTCTTGTTTGATGAACTGAATTAACAGTCCAATGAAGAATAAATACAATTGCATTTTGAAGATGAGAAGCTAATATTATTTACTTCTTTATCAATATTATTAGAAACCTGCTACGTGGGAATCTTGGATTCAAGGTAAGTCAAATTATTTGAGACTTCTGATTCCTCTCTATAGCATGTAATATGGTGATTTTTTTCTGGTCTTTTGATTACTTCTTTATATTTATATAGATTCCCATTGTAACCATTTATGCATTCTATAAATGCTTTTTTTTCTGCATGTACCATTACTTGAATTAAGATAGTTTGCATGTTTCAGTGCACAATTATCGACTTGGCTTTTCTTTATATTTCAATTATACCTCGTAATACGAACAGAAGAGGGCTTAGTCATATCATCGTTTCTCTCTCCTTTACATTGAAAAGATTTTTACCATTACAATGCTAAGTTGGAATGAGGTTCATGATTGAGAGCTGGACATTTTATTTTTATTTCAGTATATTTCTTAAACCATTTATATGAAAGAAGATGTTCTTTATACAGGATTTTTCTCCTATTGTTTTATTGCTCTTCTTCCCCACTTTGTTAATATTAATGTAAGTGTAAAGATTATATACATTACATAGTATTAATAAAGTAACCTATTATTTTATTGCCCATAGTTATTTTTCTTATTGTATGAGAACAAATTGGGGCCCTCTTTTGTTCTGAAAATAGATAAAAAATGTTTTGAAATAATTAAATATTACATTTGATTTTATGGTGTAGAACTGCAACTGAAATATGCTGACTTGATAATTTTATTGAAAAAAAAAATACCTAATAATCTTTTTTTTTTTTTATAACAGAAGTGGACATACTTTTTTGAAGTATATAATTAGTAAAATGATCTAAGCGATCAATTATGTTGATGATGCCACCTTTTTCATTTCTTTTAACATGAGAATATTTTATCCAAAATTATAAATCTGTCTTGTACAAACATACAAATAGAAAAATCATTAATATTACAATGAATTAATTAACAATTGAAATTTAAAATAATTATTTTATTAGGTAGAAGGAAAGCTTATAAATATTTTGAAAATGAAATTTCTGCAAAAATTCTATTAACATACCTATTAGCTTTATGGTGGATTTTAAATCATTTGGGTACTTCTTAGTTGCAGGTATTTTGATGCTAGACAAAGTCATAATATCAAATATTTTCTATGTTTTGAAATATTCTTGTTAGCTAGGTACAGATGATGCTGAAGTGATCTATACCGTTTGTAAATATCATCCAGCTGTATAATAAAATAATTGAACTATAACGTCTGATTACTTGTTGATAATCTAAAATAAGTCTTAATGGTAGAGAAATAGTTGACTGTAGATAATATGGTCGGGAAGTAAGTTATAGGTCTCAGTCGTTGAGAAACATTGAAATAAATAAAAAAATTATTTTTATTTTCCTCTACGACTGTATCTCCTTACTCCCCAATTAAAATAAGCCTTGTGTAAGATTCTTGGACTAGTAAATTGCTATTATAGTATTATTTCAGTTAATAAACTACTTATTGAAACAGCAATGATGTTAAAGCTTTATAAACTAATTACAATAAATAAAACTGATCAAATATCACAAAAAGTTTTCTTCAGCTTTACTGCGTTGGATTTGATAGTTGCATAATTGTTTAATTAAGTAGTTAATTTTCAAATTTCCACTAAACATAAATATTTTTTTGTTTTTAGTTAAGAATATTTCTTCAATGTACTGTAGTGATTTAGTTGCTAGGATTTTTATATTTTTCAACAATCTCATTTATCTGATTTTATTTTTATTTTAAAATAAAATGTGGATTTTTTATAGATTTCTTTAGAATGCAGGACTACGACCAACTACATCAATTTTTTGCATATCAGTATCAATATTTTTGAGAGTAAATGATCAATTTAATTATAATATGATTTGTATGTAATATTTAAAAAAAAAAAATTTAAAATAGGAGGTGAAATGAAAACACGATAGGAAAATTAATTACAAAATTGTACCAATATTGTATCATTATTGGCTCAGTTCTTAGAAAATGTTTACACAATCCATTATTTTTTAAAATTAAAAAAAATCGTTTGAAAAAATAATAAAAAATAGTGATAGTTTTTATTGTTTAAATAACAAATCATAACATTTAAATAAATACAAAAAAAAATCTCTTTTTATTATCAAATTATCGATGCAAGCAACCATAAAACATTTCATCCTCCTAAAATTAATATATTATTATGAAATAGGAAATAGTTTAAAATTAACATAATTGATTATTTAATTAAGTTCATTAATGGAAACCAATTAGCAATTTGTCTAATAAATAAATAAAATTCACAAATACAAAAATACATATATCATGAGATTTATAGAAGAAAAATATAATGTATATTTTCATTAACATATAATACAAGTATAAGATTATTTTTTTTTTAGTTTACCAGACTTGGGCTTATATTATTTAGAATAATGTTCAATAAATCCATTTGCTATTACAAAATTTGAAAATTATATACATAATGAATTACAAAGCATACATATCCATTTGGAATACCGAGTTAACAATTAATTCATACATATTTATTTATAAACAGCTTTTTTTAATATTTGAGAATTATAAACCGAAAAATTTGGTGAATAAATATTTTCTTGAAAATAACTTGCTAATATGTCATACGAGATTTGAAAGAGCATATATTATACCCAACCTCATTACAATCCTAACTTAAAATTACATTATGCACTTTAATATCTTTTTTTAATAAATTTTAAAGTTATTAATATCAATACATAAAGTAGAGATTTAAAAAAACAAAAAATTGTTTTAATGAATTTTTATACTCAGAATTAAATACATTTTTATATAAATATACATAGCCTAAAAGCAGCAATTTTTTCTCGATTGAAAATTGACATTTAAATACTGAAAAATCATGATCTGATTAGTAATCCTAAATTATTTTTACTCAAAATAAAAAAATGTATGATGTAATACAATTATTCCAAATACTGCCTTGAATCTCTAAAATAAATAAAGTAAATGTATATCTCTTTTTCAGTTGTTGATATTTTTAATTTTAAAAAACTTAATTAATAAATAAATAAATAAAATCATTAAAGATATTTTTTTTAACATATAATGAATATTGAACAATAAATAATAATAATTTTTCATCTCTTATGAAATTAATTTTGATTTGAATATTGCCCTAGTCTGATGATGAGTAATAAATTCTATAGGTTAGCAATAATAGAAAAGTTTTCTAGTTCATAAAAATTATAATTTAACTCAGTCCCTAGAAGAAAACAAAAAAGTTGACTGAAAAATCATAATTTTTATGGAATAGGAAATTAATTAGATTATGGTTATAAAACAAATATCTAGTTGGCTTTTTCTTATCTTCTTGTTCATAAATTTTGCAACAGACATAAAATTTTGCTTCATATTTAAATATTTTTATTAATATTGTCACAATTTTTTTTTTTATTTGGCAGCTCTATTTAGTTAAGAGTTATGCATTTATTGTTGTTTTTTTCATTTTCATTTTCATACAGTTAATGAATTAATTTCAGTACTGGAGTAAAATATTTATAATATAGGTGGAGTAAAAATCATAAATAATAATTAGAAACAAGTTTTTCCATTCATATTTTTTTTTAGTGACCATATATTTAAACAATTATGTAGCCGCAATCACTTTGGTTGGTTTAATCTATTTTATTGAATTATTAAATCATGTCTTGACATCTTAATTATAAAAGAATAAATAAATTATGGTTATGATTTTATTTATCTCAAGATTATTTTTTTCCCTTGAAGAGTGGCTCATTCAATTGCATTCACATCACTAAATTTCTCCTGGTTGATAAGAAAAAGCTTCTAGAATGTTTTATTACTCTTATTTCTTTTTATAGAATACCAAGTTAAAATTTAGCTCTTAAAAATTGAAATGTACTTGGCTTCTAGAATTTAAGATTCCAAGATACGTTTAAATATTCCTGTTTATAAAAATATCATTAAATATTTTTTTGAACTGAATAGTTTTATTTATTTAAGAGCTGAATTTTTCTTGGACTCCTCCTCAGGTTGTCTGCAATTTAGTTAAAAGACAGCAGCAAGTTTGTAAAATCAAAGAGGATGGAGAATGATATTAGACAGCCTGCTCCCTGTATTGTCTGTGGCTATTGTTACAGAGAAATTGGCGGCACCTGGACCGACGGTGGGGGATCAGCAGTTTCCGAGGATCAAAACGGAACCAGACTCCAGGCAAGGTAGGTCAGATAAGTTTATTTTCCCTGTTAAAAAAAATAACAATTTTGGTTTATTGCACGAAACTATCTTAATATACCTATGTTTTCATTCATAATATGTGAAAAATCTTTACTGCTTAAATCAAAATCTCCAATTAGTAAAATCAGGGGTTGAAACCTTTATAGAACTTTTTGAAAAAGTTTCATTTAACAGTTTTTGTGAAAATTTTTAGGGGAAAAGCTCTATTTTAACATGTGAAACTTTTTAGGAAAAAATGTTTTAAAATAAAAGATCTAATCCCAGAGTTAAAAGCTCCCCTCCCCCAGCACTGGGACATGAACTTGTAATTATGAGTTATATTGGTTCTCAGATTTTTATAATTGAAGACACCTCTTCCATTCGTAAATATTTATTTATAGTTCCCAAGTCCAACATTTCAGGTTTTTGACCCATCTTCAAGGAGAATTTATTTTCGTAGTTGATATCTATTATATATGATTGAAAAACTTTCTAAACAACCAACTTATTGTTATAATATTCAGAAACACGAAACATCAGGCTAGAGGATTATAAATAAATGTTTAAAAATGGAAGAGGTGTCTTCAATTATAAAAACTTATAGATTACTTTGTTTGAAAATAAATGTTATGTACAGCTAGATGGTGTAAATTTAAGTGGCATTAATTTTATAAAATTTACAAAACACTTTTTTATGTTGAAATTATTTTTTTTTTTCTTCAATGGTTATTGGTAAAGTGACAGAATATTTTCTGTATTATCTTAGGGAAAATAAGGACTGTTTTGAATAAAAATTGGGAAAAATAAAATAGTGACTTAAAATATTCTTGGAAGAATATTTTAAACACTTTTTCTGAATTTAACTTGTTTAATTTTGATTTTTTTAAAACTTTGTTCATGTATATGTTAATCTTTCTTATCTGAAATTGACAATTATTGAATTTCCTTTCAAAATCAATAATAAAACAATGGTATACTATAAGATGATGAAGAAAAGTACCCAGTAAAATCTCTTCCATAACATTGTTATGTATAAAAGAAATTTATGGATCTCTCATCTGTGACCTTTTCAGGCTAATAATGTTATTGGCATGCTAGTAGTGGCCATTTTAGCTATTAGTGATTTTTATGTCCATGTAGATAGAATTATTAATTTATTAATATTTTTAAAAGCTACACCAATATTATTTTTAAAAAATCTTCAAAGAATACATGTATGACTTTTATTTTTTTTTTAAAAGTCAACAATTTAGTATTAAAATCACTAAATTACATTACGGTTCTGGATTGGTGTTCTCATTTTTATATCTAATGCTCTTTCATAATCCAAAATGATCATGTATTAATACGGCAACAATAATTTAATTGAGTAATTTTCCAGATGTCTAACTGTACATTTTATTCTATCCATGATATTTTGTGAGGCACTTTAAATAAGAAGAATTTTAAACCTTTTCTTGACAGAAAAAAATGATCTCATTTTCGCTGCACGTATATTTTTCTTCTGAAAAGATACTTTTGAAAATAAGCTGCTGTAACTAGGGGTAAAGTGGAAATCCCAGTGTTCAATGGATAATGAACTCTTGACGGAAATGAATGGCTTTAGTTTCAGATTGCCAAGGTCTTTCTAAAGGAAGGCTTTGTCCACAAGATTTCCTGTTTCATTCATACTCCTTCATCACTTACAATTGTTTCGTCGAGAGTACTTGTTACATCTTTTAATTCCGTAGATGCTCTTTTCCTGATTTTTAGCTGTTCAAATAGTCAAGTCTCTGCCACCATTTATTTACTATGAATATCACTAAATTATTTTTCTTTCAAATATTTTGACAGAAAACTTTAGTAATAAGCAACTTTATTATTACTTTCTGTCTTTGGAATATTATTGTAAAATATGAATATAGACAAAATAAAATGAGATTGATAGATATTATTGATAAGTACAAAAATAATAATGATTCATAAGAAAAATATTAAATTGGGCCAATTATAATAATAAATAAACAGATAAAATAAAATAGTAATCTTTAAGTATATAAAATCCAGTTCCCTATACATGTTCAACTTATTATTATTTGAATGATTATATTTATTACGTACATTTCTCTATAATGTATCTATTTTTCATACCGAAAAAATCCTGGGATAAATTGTATTTCCACATTTTGATAATATAAATATTCTTATAAAAACTATTAATTGTAATTTTATTAGATTTTTTTTAATTATGTATTTTAAAATAAAATTGACAAATGTGAACATTTTAATAGATAAAAGCAGGGGTTGAAACTTTTTAACAAGTTCTTTTTTAATAGTTTTTGTGAAACCTTTTAGGAAAAAAGATCCATTTTACCTGTTTCTGTGAAACTTTTCAGAAAAAAAAATTCTTAAAATAAAAGTTCTAAGAAACCTTTTTTGTAATAAAGTTTCAGATTTAAGGTAAAAGTTTTATTTATTCAAGTTCTTAAAAAAAGTTCTGTTAACGGTAATAAAAACAGTAGTTGGGCTTGGATTAGAGTTATAATTTGTCTTAAATAAATTACACATGATTCTAATTTTTCATTTGTTTGAGTAGCTCTGAATAAAGGTAATTTTTTAGATCAACTTTTTATCAAAATCAACATAACCTCTAAATAAAATTTATTTACAAATAAAGGTTCTGTGAAACCCTTTCCATTTCAAGCTTTAGATAAAATTAATATTTAAGCAAATAAAACAAAAAAATGTCAGGTCGTTTTCTCTATTTGGTAATTAAATCAAGCTTAAATTTCACTTTAAATCTCTTTTTTTAATCATAAACAATATATCTTCATATAAGTTCTAAAACCTTAATATAGCTGATGATGTTTTTTCATCTAAGATTTATAAATGGTAACCATATATATTAAGAGAGTGGGGTAGCTCAGTGATAGGGTACTGAGCTTTCAATGCTTAAAGGTCCCAGGTTCGAATCCCAGCCCATGGCAGAAAAATTAGTTATTCTGTTTCATTGGCCAAGGGATGATCCTGACTCTCTCCTGAATTTCCTGACTCTCCTGGAGCACACCCAGCTTATATAAAGTGGATACCCTTAATTAAAATAATCGATTGAGGAGAAAAACAAATTTCAAATATATATTTCCTTGTCACTATGAGATTGAATAAATTATAAGAAGGTTATTAGTAATGTAATTAGGCAATTTTATTTATACCTTTACGAATTTAAGAGAATTCAGTTAGAACTTATAAGATGGTATTGATTTTTTCAAAAGATATAAGTCTAAATGAAATGGAACAAAAATGTACAAGAAGTATTATGGATGTGTGGCCACTTACATATTCTAAAAAAATTAAACTATTAAAGCTGCTAAGTTCAGTTTGGAATGAAATGAAAAACTATTTATATGTAATGAGTGAAATGATTGTAATTTATTCTTTAATGAAGATCACAATATATGTCCTGACTATTTATGTCTATGGCCTTCTCTGAGAGCTGTTGATAATTGCTGATCTCTGATGGTGAAAATTCGAACTACGTTCCTCTTTCCTTAATTCATTATGTTATAAGCGTCTTTTAATATTCTTGATTTCATTTTCGTCATTATTTACAGAAAAATAATATTGAAATTTATAACTAAGTTTTATTATAATTACAATAATAATACATGTTCTGACTCTGTATGAAAATAATCTCGTCTGGGAGTTGTTGATAAGTGCTGCTCTCTGGTAGGTAAAATTTCGAACTAGGCTCCTGGTTTCAATTCTTGGCATTATAAACGTATTATATTGTTCTTAATTCGTTTTTGTCTTTATTATACGGTAAATACTATTGAAATTCATAACCACGTTTTATTATAAATATAAAAATAATGTTAACTTATTTCTAAAATTCATAAATTCCTATCGGTATTAATTAATAGTAGGTAGAAAATATTCAAAATCTTATTGAAAACGTAAATGATTAATAACGTTGAGTGTTTATAGGAGTTTTAATGATAAATTTGAATATTAATAATTTATCATTAAAGCTTCTATCATATTCCATCATATTCTAATTTATCATTAAAACTCCTATAAGCACTCAACTCCTATATTATTATTATATATATATAATAATAATGTGATACTTCCAGATCATCTTTTATTATTTTATTTTATAATCAATTTATTTTACTTCAATTTTTATTTACAATCTGATAATAAAAAATAGGAATTAATGAAAATTTATAATTTCTAAACAAAGAAAATGTATTAAATATATCATCTAAAAATGGAAGTTGCCAAGACTGTTCCTTTATCTCCCTCTAAAATTTTCAATGTTTTAAGTAATGTGCATTGTTATTCAGACATATTTAAGAAGATTTACAAAATGTGAACCGTGTTTACTACGAGTCCAAATATCATACTTTAACTGATAAAAAGGGTACTTTACTAACAATTACAAATTCTCTTAAAACTAAGTACACCAATATAAAATAGATTTAACCCAGTTTATTTACTAGTACTACAGACTTAAGAAGGGCAATTCAAGACCTTGTGACTTTATTTGTTGAATTATCTTATTGTTGTAAAAATAATTTATTGGTAATTGTTATTTCAAGAACATAAACCGTTCGTTAAACCCACACCAAACTGCTTGGACTAGTAATTTTAACGGCAGTTTACCTAATGTTTAACAAGCTATTAGAGCACGTACGAACGAACGAATTTCTATCTTCTGACGTTGCGGAAAATAATCGCAGGTTGTCTCGTTGGCCATTACCCTTTCATTTCCAGTTACTGATCTATTTTAAAATAAAAAATATTAAGAAGTACTCAATAGTTTGGACAAACCCTCTCAGAAAAAAAAAATATTTTCCAGAAACCTTTTCTAAGCAGAAATGCCGAAAATTAAAACACTATTCATAGTATGAAGAATAATTGACTTAATCACCAGGAATCATTGACGATTTTCGCAATTTAATTTGTTGTGGAATGGAACAAACAGTATCATTTCTTATTAGCTCTACGTTCTAAATAAAAA